CATTGTATGGAATAAATGCTAGATGACATTGTATGGAATAAATGCTAGATGACATTGTATGGAATAAATGCTAGATGGCATTGTATGGAATAAATGCTAGTAGTTTTGTAATAAAATCTAAAAATATGAGACAATGATAAATAATAATATTATGCAGACAAAGTTTCATTTCAAATCTTTAGTGTTTATTTAGTGTGACTAGATGGTTGAGCTACAGTAAATACCAAAGAAAACGTGTTAACGCTCTATACGTACGTATATACAGTATAATCTTTATTGCAATTTACGTTCTACTGTACCTATAACAAAGTATGTTCTAAATTAAGCAAACAAAAGTTGTATTATTTTTAAATTGATTTAATTAATGTGTTAATTATGCCTTGTGTTTGACAAAGCAAAGAATGATTCTTCCATTATGAAGTTCGAATACACAGAATTTACAGATTGAGTACGAGTGTACTCTGTGATATTCTCACAATAATCACCAATCGGCCTTAGTTAAAAAAACAAATGTAACCCTGCATGCCATTTGAACATCATATGATTACATAATCACCGGAATATTTGTAAATAATATACAATAGCATAAATAGTGCATTTTGTACATCAATAAATACGTGGATTCTTGTTGATTTAAAGAACTAGGATCTAGAAAAAAAATTTTATAAAGAGTCGTTTGAAAAAATTTGGTTTCTTCACATCAAAAAAAAAACATTCATAAAACTTATTTCGTACAAATTCTTATAAAGCTAAAAAAAAAAAAAAATCGAAAAAAAAACAAACAAGTTGTGTATTTCTCGATCCGCAAAGTATTGTTCGCAAAAATACTTTAGGATCCTTTGTTTTTAGAAATTTGTTCTTTTTTCTGAAAAACCTTTGTCAACCTTTGAGTGTAAATCCGATTTATAGTCGTATCACTCATACAGCTTTCCTTTTACTAAAATGTCTTTAGAAGAGAACGAAACCTTTTCTTTTGTTGAAGAACAAATAGAACTTACTCCAAAAAGTTTTTCGAAAAAGAGGAATAGAGTTTCATTTATGGCCTGTGATAAATGCAGGAGCATGAAAAAAAAATGTGATGGAGATTATTTGAGTCGAAAGACTTGTTCATCTTGTGCTGGACGCGAAGAAGAATGTAGATATTCAGACAGTCATAAAAGAAAGGCTGTAGAAGCAAATGATGTTCGACAATTTATTAATAGACTTGAGGTTATTGGTGATGAGATTCAAAAATTGACGGGTGAACTGAGAAAATTTTACGAATTGAGTAAAAATCAAGATAATTTAAAAGTTCTTGGAAGTGAAGACGATTTCAATAACGATAATCATGTATCTTGTTCAGATAACCTTAAAAAGAAACAACCTGAAGTAAAACGTTCTCATAAATCTAAATCCAAAATTTCTGGATTAAAAAGGAATTCTAAAGAATCAAAAAAAGAGGATTCATCATCAAAAAAACAAGATGCCGCAAAAGGTTATTTTTCAAAAATCTATATTCCAAAGGGAAAGTATGTAACGCATCAATTTGATCTCAAGGATTTTAATGGTGCCTCTTCTCAATTTGAGAATACTCAACCTCAACCTTCTCCACCTTCACCTGCTAACAATTCTGAATTAATTGCAACTGATAATACCGATTTTAGTAATAATAATACTTCAAATTCTTTTCCTGAAAATTTGTCTTATGTTTTTTCTCCTTCGGAACATATGATTTCAAACCCAATTTTCCTTTACAACGATTTAAATGGAATTTTATAAGGTGGAATAAACAATGATCTTTGTTTTTTTTTTTTATGAAGTTTTAAGGTTGTTATTTTTATAAGATTTTTCATCTCAAATTTGAATTATAGATTTTTGTCGTTATTTATCCTTTCAAATCCTTCCAAATTATAAACTTATTTGCTATTGTGTACATGTTCATCCTGATTATATTATAGATTTTTATCCTTTCAAATCTTTCCAAATTATAAATTTATTTGTTGAAATTACCAATTATATACATGTTCGAAACTAAATTCATCTCTTTTTTAAATTATAGATTATTGTTTTATCCTTTCAATCCCTTTCAAATTATAAATTTATGCTTAACTATCTATTATTTACTATTATTTACATGTTCGAAACTATACGACGTTTGAATTTTTAAAAAAACCATTCATATTATTTTTATCGAAAATTAAGTATGTACTATAGAGATTTATGGTTATAACTATTAAAATATTGTAAAATAAAATTACTAGTATATGATTTGATATAAATGTGATTACAGCCACATAGAATATTAATTCCGTCTCCATTAGTTCTGAGTAGTTAATAGGAAGGAATTAACATCATTAAAATAAATTGTAAAAAATTTTATACGTATATTAATGCGGGCTTTTTTTAAGAAAATAATTATTAAAATCAAATTAGTCTATAGAACGCAGCTTTCAAATTATTCAGATAACTTTAAGTCGTATAAATTTTTTCCGGTGAATAAATCTTTCCACTTATATACTTTGCATGTATATGTAGCACATAGGTACATAGGTACTTACCAGTTAACCAACATGTTGCACGAAATTTTTTTACAAATTATACAAATCAAACTTACATATTAAATTTTTCAATTAAAATACTAACCAAAATTAATGCCAGAGTTCCTATGAACAAAGATATAATGAATGTGAAAAATTAAAGAATGTGATATCTTCAAAAATAGCACCATGGTTTGTTAAATGAACGCAAGCAAGTCTTCTTACAAAATATGGCTTAAAAAGTGAAAAATGGAGATATTCTATAAAGGTACAGGAAAAATTGTTATAATGAACATAATTTTTATTTTTATTGATCAAATACTTACCCGTAATAGTAATAAATCCCAACCCGAGTGTCCAGTATATCCCGACGTAGTGTGGAATACTGCAATTATTAGATTAGTAGTGTGAAGACTATCCAGGATAAACCCGACCCGAATCGAAATCGCTCGCCAAATCTACACGCCTTTTTCGACAGTAAGCCATCCGATCGTTACACGAAGCCGACCTTCGATTAGCGACAGACTCGCCGATTTAGGGCACCTCACTACATAGTGTTAGAACCTAAACACATGATCCACGAGTGACGATTTTTTTCGTGGGATCTTCGCCGTATGACCCTAAGTCACGC